ATAGACAAATAGTTTAAAATTAAAGGGTAAAAGAGGGAGATAAAGTTTCTCTCTATTGTGCCTTTTATATATACTAATATGAAACACGGTGTACGTGAAATTTCATTGTTTATTTTAAAATATAAAAACATAAAAATTAATTATAATTAAAATTTTAAATATAATTGGACTCTTTTTATCCCTAAATGTTTACCTCACTAAACTGTTTTTTTTTTTTTTTGTATTTTCTATGTTTATCTCATAGAATCAACGTCTCAATAATTCTCATCACCCACTAATCTAGTTGATGTGATTAAAAAAAATTGAGAAGTGTCGATTACTTGAAAATTTAGCATAAGTATAATACAACAATCAAGAATAAACAACTTAACACATGTTCCTCGATTACTTGAATTTTTTTTTCTAAAAAAAATACATATTCATGAATTTTTCATCTTTTTTTGTTCCTAAACACAATGATGCATAAAAGAAAAGAAAACTTTGTTTTGATTTCTTATTTGAATCATTGAAAAAGAGAATGAATGAAAAAATAAAACACTAAGTATGTCATATTGTAAGCTTTTTAAATAAATTATTTATATATTGTAGGTAATCAACCCTTCTTTGGAATTAGAATTATTCTAAAATATAAAAAAACACAAGATATTGACTAAAAGATAAAAACATACCAAAGGATAAAGAATGCTCAAGTTCTTGTGAGAAAAAAAAAATTGGGAGAAAGAGTAAGAAAAAGCTCTTTTCACCGTTGTAGAAGATAAAGAGTTACAAAACTTTTTAAATTCCTAATTAATTATAATTAAAAATAAGTTATAACTTTTTAAATTAATTCATAAAAATAAATAGACAAAACTATACATATTCTAACTCTTTATATTATAATTGTAGGATCGATATGCCAACATTAGAGGGGTGAATAGGGTTGCTTACGAATTTGTAGATTTAAAAAATAATTTTAAGAATAATAAAAAATCAAACGAAATTTAAAAGCACAAATTAAAGAGTAGAGATAGAATACACCAGAAATTTTTATAGTGGTTCGAAAATCCCTTCTCTACTATCCAAGACTCCTTCTTGGGTATTTTATTGCAACGACTGTGAGAACCAAGCCGATCGACCCTCTTTTTGTCCTAGGCTAAAGAGAAACCCACGATCCTTTTTACTCACTAAGGTAAATTTACAAATGCACTAAAGCAATAGCTAAAAAAGCTACACTCTAATGTATCTCTCACAAAAACATATGGACAACTTTTTGTGCGAAGAGAATGAAAATTTGATAGCAGAATAACTTGAAGGGAGAATGATGTTTGCTTTGATAATTGATGTGGATAATGGTTAAATTTGGTGGCTTTAAATAGAGTTTCGAAGATGAAATTTGGTTGTTGGATTTAGGACAATAAATGATGGATGATGAAGATTAAAAGTAGAGATAAGGAAAAGAATAATGAAAATTATGGAGATTTGGAGAAATTGGTGGAGAATGGCAAATTATGTGAAATTGAAAGAAGACTGTGGAATTGAGAGAATAGTGTGAATTTGATTTGTTGAGATTGAAAGCGCCACGTGTCATCACATGATTTGTCCACGTCATCCAGCATGTTACCAAGATTGTTGATACCACGTTATTGCCACATCATTGCCCTGATGGCATAATTTGACTATTAAATGTCACGTCCTCTACCACGTAGGATTGGTCCACTTGACCTGTTTTGACCATTATTTCTTCGTTTGAACTCCGACTCGAGTGATTCTTTCCGAGCTCTATGAAATAGACATTTTGAAACACTAAAATCATAGTAAATAAAGTTTGTTATCATCAAAACGTTCAGTGTGATTGAAGCCCATAAAACTAACAATAACATTTGACATGATTAAGAAAAAGAGAATTAATTTTGAAAAAAGTGGAATCTGTAAAGATGAAAATAAAAGGCGTGAAAGAAAATGAAAAGAAAAAAGGAATTGAAGGAAGTGGGGTGGGAGAGGGAAGGAGGGGATGAGAGAGAAAAAAATAGGTTTGAATGACAAAATTATCCCAACATATAAGTAAAAATACTTAAATTAAAGGGACAAAATAGAGAGAAAAAGTTTCTCCCAATAACCCCTTCTATATATATTTTATTTTATATATAGTACACATAATTAGGTTTTTGAACCAATATTTTTTTTATATAGAATATGAATCAATAGATTGTTGAACTCATAGACACAATAATACAATCTAGAATAATCTTGTTATGTCGTTTAAACCAAAAAATTATTGAGCTAATAGGTTAAGAATCTATTAAACATAAAATCGAAAGTTTGAGGATCTATTAGATACAAAAATGAAAGTTATGGGACTTTTTTTTTTTATAAAAATTACGAGACTTATTTGATATTTTTTTAAGTTCTAAGAAACTAGTAAAGTAATATTAACCAAACTTATTATTTATCCAATTAACTTTGTTCAAGAAGACATAGAACAAAAATTTATAGGTAAATATAAAAGAACTAAAAAGTTTATAACATATATTATTTTGTGTAAAATCATTGCAGATATTTTCCATACTAAAAAGTTTATAACATATATTCTCTTATAATATGAGAGCATCTTTTTTTTCCATAATTAGAGAACCGTTATTTATTAAAATAATAATAATAATTAAAGAAAAAAATACAAAGTTTAGGGCGGTGAGATTTGAATCATGGACATAGGGGCTCAATGTTAAGAATCCCACATTGAAAAGAAAATGATCTTGCATATGTTTATAATATACATGGACTAATCCTCTCATTGTTAATTGGTTTTGAGATGGAATCTTATGAATATTGATCCTCAGGAGCACTGCACCTAATCGCTCCGGTAGTGCACCTTGTTAGTATAGCTAACAACTATCCATTCTTTTAAGAGCGGAACCTCTTCCAGTACCATGTGGTTCAGGGACGAACCAAGCGGAAGCTGGTGGACATGTGACGCTCGAGTAGAGAGGAGGGGTACATGAATGAATTGATACCACATATGAAGGACAAGGATCCTGAGACCATGGAGGCATGGTTAAGAAAAGACTTAAAAGACTTGATAGTTGTTACTATCCTGACAAGGTGCACCTTCCTTTTCGGTGGCTCAATCATAAAAACTTTGAAGTTAAGCGTGCTTGACTTGGAGCAAACTTTATTCAGGAGGGAGTATTTTTCCAGTGAGGTGGTTCTCAAGTTTGAAACTTTTTAGGATGGGAAAAATAATGTTTTGCCATGAGGCAGTTTCCTATACCTAGTTGATTGAAGTAAATTGATTTAGTAAATAAATGAAGAACGAGTTTCCAACATAGTTTGTTCCATATCTACCATCAAATTTTGCTTTTTTAGGATCGATTGTTAGTGTGGTTTCAGTTGGGAGAGGGGTAGTGGACTTCTAAGACAACATATAGGTGATCTCCATTGTGATGTTGGGAACTTCAGCAGGAGGAATCATAAGTTAGGTAAGATAAGGTAGTGGACTTCTAAGACAGCATAAAAGTTTTCCTTATGAATTCCAACTTCCCCCACCGATTATATAGGCAAGAAGAGAATAAGTTTAAAATACCGTAATTAATAAGATTAAACTTACAAATTATAAGTTAGGTAAGATAAGATACAAGATTAACCACCAAAGAAGAAAAGTTAACAAATGAAATAAATGGACTGAAAACTGTCGCTAGAGGTGACAACTTTTCTGAGCATAATATAACAATATTATCACCAGTAGAAATTCAGTTTATCGTGACGTTTTTTTTTAACGTCACAAAAATCTTTCTTGACGTTTTTTACGCCGTCACATATACGCCCACAAAAAAGGTATACGCGACGTTTAAAAAACAAAAAGTAGCACACATGACGGTTAAAGACCGTCATGCAAAATATCAGCTTTTGCGATGCTTTTTAAATGTCATAAAAAATGATTTCGTGACGTTTTAAGACCGTCACGATTGATACTTTTTGTGACGTTTAAAGAACGTCACTGTAAATGAGTTACCGTGACGGCATTAGATTTTGTGACGGTTAAACAAAGTCACAAAAGAAGATTTCATGACGTCTAAGAACCGTCATAAAAACGATTTCGTGACGTTTTAAACACGTCACGAAATATTTTATTTTATGACTAAAAAAATCACAGAAAATGTAATTGATTTTGCTTGCAGACATCGCAGAATACAAATATCATATTATAATTAAATTGTCAATCGACATCACAAAGACATTAATTTATATAACATAATTGAAATATAGTAGGAGTAAAGTATTCTCAAAGTATTCTCGAACTTGCTAGTACATTATATTAAACATGTTCAAATGGCTAACAAACACAAATTATAGGATTAAACAAGTCTCACATACCAACCTCAACCCCAACAAAGAAGCTCATCCATCAATTAGTTGTATTCCTAATTGTCGACTTCTTTGGGTTTGTGAAAGACCTAATGAAGAAAACAATACCCAAGTTAGATAAATGAATAACCAATAAATAAATAAGGGAAGAAAGTCACTTCTAAAATAACAAGTTCTATTTATTAAAGGGTGCAAAGGGTCGAAAGGATATTAAATTGACAAAAAAATACACTTATAAAAAATAAATCACCTGTAAGCGACTAGAATATAAAATCAATACACAAAAAATGAACATGATAAGTTGAGATAAGAGTAATTACATGAACCTGTCAGTTAAGAAATTGAGTGAGTAGACGAACTTGAGC